GGTGCATTCTACATAGTCTCCCTGAACACAAGACCAAGTTGCGACAACGAGGTCAACCCACTTCTATAAGCGAAAGGAGACTGCGACCATACCCGAGGCCACAACATCTTGGTCTTCACATCTTCCATTTATTTTGGTTTGGCGATTCTGTAGCTGGCCCTTAGTATTCTTTAATGATTGATGGTTCTTCTTCGAAGTTGTTAAGATCTAGATCTCGTTTTGTTTCGTTTTAATTTGTATGCTCTGATACCAAATTTGGGATAAACTTAGTGCTGAAATGCGAATTAAATAGACTTTCGAGACCATCAATAAATCTTAATTAAGAAATTAAGCAACTCCAGGTTGCTTATGGTAATGAAGAACTGATAGTTTATCCGCACTAGCCCCGTATGAGGTTCTCTGGTAACCTCAGTGGGAGTCGAGCCCGAGTAATGCAACGTACACTTTCGACACATCTCCATTGCTCCAAACTGTCACGAATGCCAGTTGGTCACGGTACAGAGGTGACTTTCAGAGCAAGCTGGGCTTCTCTCAAATCCCGTTCTTGGTGGGATTGTCGCTAAGGCAAACAGGTAGCCGCCATTACAGTCGACAATATTGCTTGTTGAGTTTACTTCCATGTCGAGTGAAAGCGTTTGGTGATTGGATTCGAAGTTGGATCGCACAAGAAGACGACGGTGGACTCCTCTTGACCAGCTGTCGATTGGCTTTACTGGAGCATTCTTGATGATGCTGTTTCCAAAGTGATCCTCTCCTTTTCTTGAGTCGCTAGATTGAATCTGGTTGTAAGGATGATACCCTCGTCGCTCTGATAATGTCCGTCATATGACGAACAAGAGTTTGGCACGTTTCACCGGAATCGAATAAGATTGTCTCAGAAACAGTGTCAACATGAGTGTTCCAGTAAAGCCAAGCAACAGCCAGTAAAAGGAATCAGCCGTCTGCTACTACCTTCGATGCTCTTCACTAAAACCTTTCCCGGAAATGTAAGTAAGCTCAACAGACAAGAGATTTCTCGAAACCCAACTTTTCTTCGCAAATATTCCTTGCATTCTAAATTATCCATAGCATCAGAATAAGCTCTTTTTCGGGAAATTGCTTTCTCGGCATATGCTACTTACTGCATAAGTAGTGCAATGTATCTATGCCCTAAGTTGACTGCTCGAGTAGCCCTGGAGTGAGGAGTGGGAGACGACTGAATTCCAAGGCAATGGTACCTACTAGCGGGCATAAAAAACACGTGATGCAACTTTGACCCTTCGGCAGGAGTCAGAGTTCGCCAGCGGCTTGATCAATAATGACGGAGTTCAAATGATCCGGATCAGAGAGTGTACGCTTCATTCGGTCCTGAGGTTGATCCGACCGTCCGGCTGCCGGTTCTGCCGTTGCCTTAGCCCGCCTCTGTCAACACGAGGTCCGGATCAGCCAAACGTCATGTGGTGCTAGGCACGGCCTTCATATATTGCCCTCCCGATCCGAGACGAGCGGAGATCGCCGGAATTCTGGCCTGCAAACCGACAGTGACGGACTGTCCTTCCGATTTGACAACATGAAGAAAGGTCTCCTCGTACTCAACTCAACTCGTCACTTGGCATCGCAAAGACTCTTCCACCGTAGCCGGAGGGTAGAAAGTTCCGTTGCCCTCGGCAACGGTCGGGCCTCGGACACAGACACTGTCTCGTCGACCGCGCGGATAGCCACTTGGAACGTGCGCGGGTTGACACGACGCAATAGTCTCCCGTTGCTGGCCCATCAGGCCGCGTTGCGCGGTCTCTCGGCGATCGGCCTGGCCGAGACGATGTTGCCAGGCAGCGGGGCCTACGACTACGAGGAGTCGGGCCATCTGCTCCTCTGCTCCGGGGCCGGGTCCGAGTCTGGATCGGGATCGGGATCCGGATCCGATTGCGTATCGAGGCACGGTTCCGTGAAACCACAGCACGCCGGCGTCGGTCTCCTCCTCGACCCCGGCTGCCGTCGTAGGCTGGTGAGCTTCCGGCCGGCCGGGCCGCGTTTGCTCAGCGCTCGGCTCGAGCTGTACCAACGCAACGAACTCGACTCGAGCCGCGACCGACCGACGTCGGAGTCCGCGAAGCCGTCGGAACCCCCGCCACCTCTGGAATCGCTGGAACCCGAGCAACCTGTGCCCCACTTGACCATCATTCAAGTTTATGCGCCGACAACACGCTACAAAGAGCGTGCCGTGGAAGCATTCTACGGAGCCGTCGAGAGTCTGCTTGGCGCTGTGCCCAGTGACGATTTCGTCCTCGTCATGGGCGACTGGAACGCCAAGGTTGGCCGTCGGACGGACGAGGCCGGCCTTGAGTCGGTGCTGGGACCATTCGGTCTCGGTCGCCAGAACAAGCGAGGCCGGCGCCTCTTGCGCTTCTGTGAGGCGTACAACTTTGTGCTCGCGAACACGTTGTTCAGCGCACAACGACACGGTCATCGCGAAGACGACGGCAGAGGCGACCACGAGGCGACCGAGGAGAGCGGCCTGTACACTTGGACTTCACCCGACAACCAACAACGCAATCAGATCGACTACATTCTGGTGCCAAAGCGGATGCAAAAGGCCCTCACCAGTTGCCAGGCATGTTCGCATGGACAAAAAGAGTTGGGCTCCGACCACAGAATGTTGGTGGCCGAGTTTGACTGGTCACTGCTCTAGTCAGCTACTAATAGCAACCATATGAGGTTCCGAGAAAGCGAGAGAGAGAGAGAGAGAGCAAGAGAATAAAAAGAAACTTATACAATTTATGAGCTCGAAATAATAGAAGCGCCATCTGCCCTTCTAGTCCAGATTTTTCGGTTTGCGCAAATTCCGAAACTTGATGTCTTCGCAAAAACTCAACAGTTTCGCGAGAAAAGAAGATAAGAAACTTTCAAAAATGCAAATTTCATCTTTGCCATAAGCGATATGCTTGCTTCTCGCTAAACTGATAAAAGGGAAAATCGTCTTTCCTATTTAAAGGTGGTGTAAAATACAAACACCCTCTGGAGTGTACATTCAGGCAAGAAAGTGTTCTAAAAAAGACATATACAAACCTGACGAGTTTTCCGTCCTTATGTAGGTTTTCGAGACTATTATTAGATTCGAAATCAGAACTGTATTCACCCTATTTCGTTTGAGATGATGAAGGAATGGTAATTGAATTTTCCTACAGTTATCCGAGCAGATCTTACGTTTCCAATGAGCTTCGTATCCAGGCTGAAGTGAACTTCAGTTTTAACCTCGCCTGGCTTCATCAGCACCACTAGCGGGACTCAAACCTGGGCCGTGGTAGTGCAGCGCACTTGGGCAGACTGCCAAGAGTGCTCCTGGGTAACAGAGCAGAAGTGAATTTACTAGAAGGCCAAGCCTTTCTAATATCCCTTCCTGTGGTGGGATCATCGATGAAGCTTAATATGTAGTTGCTATTACCATCGACTACATTACTTACTTTAGTTTTAAGTAGGTAGTAGAGGTTATCTGTAATTCAACTAGCAACCCCAGAGACCGATATAAACCGAATATAGATGTGGTTCCATCTCGTTTTTGCAGCTTGCTCGGGTTGTTTGGGCCGCTTAGGTGGACACATCTTGTCCATAGTCCTATGCTATGGTGGTTATCATATTTCCAAGCGTTGGAGCGAGGACTTGGTACATTCTCAGACGTTTCGCCAGCATCGTAGTCGGCATCGTCAGTGTGTCTTGCCATTCTCAGCACCAAGAACAAGCATCTTTGACGAGTTGTAGCATAAGGATTTTGGTAGAGTGGTTTAATTTTTCACCTAGCCCTAAATATGTATTACCCTCCATCATAGTTGGCAATATTCTAAAATAATTGTCAGCCCGTCCTCGTGGTTAATTAGTCTGAATCAGAATTCTTCTTAGTCTTCTCAATTCCTTGCCGGGATACCTCGCACCTGCCAGTCACAGGTTACTTATTAGCATAGACTTTTAACTGTACTTAACTACCATAATTGTGGTGTGAAAAGAAATTAAAAAGGAAACCTGCGCTTGCTGGTTTCCTATACACATTTCAACATAATCTGGTCTCCTCTTTGCATCAAGAAAAAGTAAACCACCTCCCTTTTCTAAATAGTGCTATGCCTGCAGAGATTATAAAGCATTACTGGACAAATGAGGGCTGAGGTGATGTACAGTAGGCTCAGGTTTCATTTGTCAAAAGTCTGTTAAATGGGGCAGTGTCAAAACTCAACAATGGGATCATCGGGAGGGACGGTCGTACGGAAGAATTCGCTCCTACTGATTACTTTGAACGGTGTGGACTTGGGCTCCTGACTGGTTTAGAAAGGGAAACCTGATTTTGGGTGGGCGGTAGTAGTTGGTAGATCGTGTGCATGTGACGATCTTGCACAGGCAACCTGAGAATTTGTCTGAGACAATTGCTAACTATGCTCGATGCGGAGCCTAGTAGGACAGAAACTTTAATGCTTATTCATTATTGTTGAGCTTACTTCCATTTCGAGTAGAAGTGTTGGGTGAAGAGATTCGAACGTCGGTTCCACCAGAAGACGACGACAGATTCCTCTTGACCAGCTGTCGATTGGCTTTACTGGAACATTCATGCTGACG